TTATTTCAAAATCGTGTGAATCCTAATACTTTGCAAAGAATTACCGCTCAAGAAACTGGTTCTGGTGAATATTGGATTTCTCCAAATGGTGATGATGTTAGATCTTATGGAATTTGTATTAAGCAAATTTAGATTTTTATTTACGTGATTTTTTTTTTTTTTTTTAACATTTGCGTCATTTCATTATTTTTTTTTCTTCTAAAAATAAAAAAGATTTTTTTATATTAAAAAAAAAAAAATACGTTAAAAATAATTAGGCATGATAGCGACAACTTCAAGAAGTTGGTTGATTATCAGAATAAAAAAGTGACAAAAAATTTTTGTCATGGAGATGTAAAAAATTCTCTTTTCTTTTCCTTACCAGGAGAGTGAATGTTGTGGCGTTGTAAAATGTGCAAAACGCGATCGAACATCATTAACTACCATGCTTGGAATAGACAACGTGTCAACTTGTAGAAGCATGGTATATCCTGTCTTCTTGAAGAATGAAGGGTTAATATACAACATGATGGAGATTCCTAAAAAAGAAGCGATGAAAAATCTCCTAAAAAAGAACCCCAGTATCCTTTGTCGATTTATTTATTATTATTATCATTCTTACGACAAATTAAATATACATGGGAAGGAAAGGTTTAAGGAAATTTCTTATTGGGTTATCTCGAAGAAACGTCTCATAAATCTAAGAAATAATAATAACGCATAATAAATAAAAGTGATAACGTTTATATGTTGAGATATTTCTGGTATAATTTTTATTTTAATTAGACGGATTTCTCCCCTAAAAAACATTGCATTATTTTTACAACGAAATTACTATAAAATAATTTGTCCCTATTGAAACCTCATAATATTTGAAAGATCAAAAAAGATACGGTACAAATCTTTTTCTTTTGCTTAAATAAACATCCCATTCTTTATCGAAATGCCTTTTCATCATTTCTTCTTCGCAAGTAATTCGTTTATAATGCATAACACCCGCAAAGGTGATTTGAAAAGCGATGAGCCACCAACTTAATAAGGTTTCACTCCAATAAGATGACAAATAAATAGGAGCATAATTAGAACATAATTGACAATATAACAAAAAAAGATTAATTGACATCAACGCAGTACCCGTATACTGTTGATAAGTTCAAAGTGATTTAGCGAATGAACGGGTTACTCTCTTTTTTTTTATAAAAAAAAAAATAGAGGAATATACTTACCGAAGGATGAATTAATAAAGAATACGGGCCTGTAGTGATCAATTTATGATCTTTTTTAATGGTAGCAAAGGAAAAATATTCCTTTAAAGAATCAAAGCACCATAATCTTAATAAAGACCCTCCAATGCTACATAAAAAACAAATGATTTCCAATAAACTCCAATCGGAAAATTGATGTAAAATTGGAATTGAACCAATTTCTTGTTGATACATGATATAAATATAAAGTGATGATAGAGTTATACTGAAAAAAACAAAAAATCCAGGAAGAATAAAAGACAAATATAATCCAGGTAACCCTTCTGATAAAAATTTCTTGGTATCTAATTTGTTTAAATGTGATCTTGGAGGAAATAAAGCTCTAAGGATCATATAATTTTGAATAATGAGTGAAATGACCTTTGTATACATCTTGGAATTTATTCAATATTTCGGCAAATGGAAATTATATTATATTTGTAAATTAAAAAAATATATAAGATCGGCGAAATCTCAAAACTGGGTGACGTACAGTACATACAATACATAGTACAACGAGTATATAATATATACGCGTACGTCACTAATCATGATGAAGTCAATCAATATAAGAAACTAAATCTCCATAACAAATATTTTAATATTTTTTTGTCTGTAATAATGACAACAAATTATATTATCGAAAAAGAGTTTTCTTGGGACAAAAAACCAATAGTCAAATTTGGTACTATCGAGAATATAGAAGACACTCCTGATCGTGTATCTAAGGCGTTAGCGTCTCTAGGCAAGGAATGTATGGATTTCATTGACAACAAAGAGAATGCCTTGTTTAAGAAATCGTATAGAATAGAAATAGTTCCTGCGGAACATCCTCAATGGGAATTTCAACTATACTTTCCAGCGGAGACCTGGTTTGACAGGTTATATTACGTTAAAGCTGAAAGCGCTGAAAAGAAAAATAAGGTGTTAGCTACGGCTAGGGAATATGTTAATAGCGTGAGAAGTTCATACAGACCATCGATTCCTGAAACATCATTGACTCCTGTTCTCTCAAAAATTTATTGTGCGACACATGCAAATTGCATTATAAGTAAATATCCACGTACATCTTTACTTTATTTATTAGACAAAATCACTAATATTATAACATGTTCAGATAATAAAATCGGCGGTAGACATGACCCTCGTTATTCTGAGCCTAATATTTTCTGTAGAAAAAGTGATGTGTCTCAGCGGTCTAAAACACCAACTAAGTGTAACTGGTACGCAGAAAACGAACGAATTGTGTCTCGAAAATCATCAACATACGTTATACTATCAAGACAAGAACACGTCAGAGAAATACTCGTGGCTCCTCGGGAACATAAAACTAACAGACAACTAATCGTA